ATTTAATTTTATTTTTATGAAAAAAAAACTAATTATACCAAAAATATTAATTTTTTGTACTCTATTAATAAACATCAACACCGACTAAAAAAAAAAAAAAAAAAAAAAAAAAAAAAAAAAAAAACCTCGAACAGTATAGATTCACACTGTGAATCTAAACTGTAAATATTTCAATTTTTAACATTCACAATATGAAAAATCTCGAATAGTTTAGATTCACATTGTGAATCTGCATTACTATTATACACACTGTGAATCTGAGAAGGTTCAAAAAAAAAAAAAAAACCTCGATCAGTGTAGATTTACACTGTGAATCTAAACCGTAAATATTTCAAATTTTAACATTCACAATGTGAAAAAGCTCCGATCAGTTCAGATTCACACTGTGAATCTGACTTCTTATTATGCACACTATGAATCTAAGGATGTTCATAATGTGAATCTGAATAGGTTTACAATATGAATCTGAATAGGTTCACAATGTGAATCTAAACTGAAATAAAGTTTTTTTTTTTAACTTGAATATGCATCTATGTTTAAAAAGTACAAAAAATATGAATTTTGATATATTTATTAATTTTTTTTCTATAAAAAAATAGACCTTAAATTTTTTTATCAAAGAAAATAAAGTGGGTTTTTTTCGAAAAAAAAAGTTCGTTTTTTATATATCATCATGAATTTCTATGGAAAGAGAACGAAAAATCGTGAACAACGGTATATTCGGTTTTTTTTTGGATAAAAAACATGGCCTAAAAAAAATTTTAAACGAAAAAAAGTGGTGGGTTTTTTTGTAAATGGTGGATTTTTTTGTATAATCCGGTGTGTGTGCGTCCAATGTAAAAGTGTACATCTATTCCTTGGCCGTTGATCATTATGATTTCCAACGCTCACGATTGGTTCTTTGGTTCCTTGGTTAATTATGGTTCTCTATTGAACCTCACCCTAGGTTCTGGTTCATTTGAGACCATGTTAATTTTGTATAACCGTGAGACGCAATCTAAAAATAATTTTAAAATGCAAAATAATAGGAAAATTCCGAAAAAAAATTAATTATTATTTTCGTCATTTTCTTTACCTAAAAAACAAAAATAAATAAATAAAACAAATAAAAAATAAATAAAAATTAGCGCTTTTTGTTGAAAAATACGTGAAATATTATAATATAATACTACACTGTAAATATTCTAATGTGATTTTTATAATGTTAGAATATTCTAGTATTCTACTAGATTTGTTAAATATGTAAAATATTATAATATTATAGTAGAATATGTAAAAAAAAATAGTAATTTTTTTTTTTTGGATAATATAAATGACGAAAATAATATTTGAAAAAAAATTTCGAAAATTTTCAATTATTGTGAATTTTAAAAATGTTCTCATTTTATCTAGAAAATGAATTGCTAAAATTGTGTCTCACGATCTCACAAAATTAGACCGTCATATATATATATATATATATATATATATATATATATATATATATATATAGATATATATATATATATATATATATATAGGGTTAGGTTCATGTGAGACGGCCTAATTTTGTGAGACCGTGAGACGCAATCGTAGTCAGTTATTTAGTAGATAAAAAAAATATTTCTAAAATGCAAAATAATTGAAAATTTTCGAAAAAAAAAATTTCAAATATTATTTTCGGAATTTATATTTTCCAAAAAAATAAAAAAAAAATACCAAAAGAATAAAAAAAAAATACATTTTTTTACATATTCTAGTAGAATATTAAAATATTCTACATATCTGACAAATCTAGTAGAATATTCTAACATTCTAAAAATCATATTAAAATATTTACAGTGTAATAATCTATTAGAATATTTCACGTATTTAAAAAAAAAACAGTAATTTTTTTTATTTTTTTAGGTAATTAAAGTTCCGAAAATATATATATATATATGCTTTTAGAAATCCGCAAATGCCGAAAAGTTGTTTCAAAGGTTGGTGGCTTTATGATTCGATATGAACAAAAATACAAGACCCACATGAGCTGCCAAAAGTAGGTTTTGTTGTCAACCAAAAAAATTATTAAGCCAACTACTGCTTATTTGTTACATCTACCATTCTAACATTAAAAGCATATTTTTGGTTCATTAACTAAAAAATAATTTTAAAATAAAAACTGCAGCATGAAAGTTATGGCTAATATATTAATTTAATAGATTAGAACAATAAACAATTTGTATTGTTGTTTTAATAAAATAAATTGTTAGAAAGATTATTAAAACATATTCAAAATTATTTTAATATTAATATAGTTAAATTTACCAAAAAAAACCTAATGCAATGACAAAAAAAATCTTTCAAATAAATGAAGGTTTTTTTTTTTTTCCTTTGTCACACTATCATTCAATTTGTCAAATGTCATTTTATGTTATTTTGAATTACTTTTTTTTCTACATGTTATTTTATGAGTTTTTCTATTTTATTATATTTCATTTTGATAATAATTGCAATAAATGTAATAATAAATTGATATCAATTTCATTAAATCTCACTAGTTTCTTTTATATATTTAAATTTTAAACGTAAAAAACATTTTTATTATAATAATTCGTTATTTTTCTTATTTACTTTTAAATTCAAAATTTTCAAATATTTTGATCTTTATATTAACTTTTTTTTAAAAAATTAAGTCATGTAATTCATGGGTCTCACAACTAGTGTAATGAACATAGTAATAGTGTGGAGAAGGTAATAGAATGTCCATATTACATTGATAAATTAATCTAGTATATTTGGTATGCAGGAAGTTATCGAGTTAATGAAATAAAATTAATTAAAAATGATGAAAATACCCCCGTCTCCCTTCTCATATATATATATATATATATATAGATCTATATATATATATAATATATAATATATATATATATATCTATATATATATATATATATATATATATATATATGGAATGGTTCAAATGAGAACCCAAAAGGTTAAGAACCCTAAGCACCATTTTTAAATTTTTTTATTTTTCAATAAGACGATTTTGGACAAATCAAACATTAATATTATATTAAACAAACTTTTTTCATTCCCTAGTTTACAACTAGTTGCCACTTGCTATTGGATAGTCGTTAGACCACATTCGGACCGCCGCCAGACTAACACCAAATCCAATGATATTTTCTTATCGTATTCACATCTTAATAGAACAACCATTGTATGTTTTATTTGTTTGGTGATACTTTTTAATACATATCATTTTATTTTTGCAGCAATCTACATAAAAAAAATTTAAAAAAATTAGATTTATGCTTTAACAAATTCAATTTTTTATTTCGAAATTGTAAATTTCTTTATAAAATATACCATGTATAAGACATATTCATAATTTTAATATCATATTCACAGTTTAATAAACATATTAATTCACTAATACATAGTTTAATTTTTTCATGCAAGCACTCATTCATATTTTAACATAAAATTTAAATAATACATACAACTTGATACAATCAATTTCTAGTTTATACATAAACTCACAACATAATACAATCCATTATACATTAATTCACAAATTCAAATAAGTCAAACTCAAACTCTACCACCATTACTAACGACTAGACACCGTCACCAACTACATGTGCCACTTTCGCAACTATCATTCCTTCCAAATCAGACCCCTATATAAAATCATGGATTCATAACTTAAATATTATATTCACGGTTTAATAAACCAATTAATTTACTAATTAAGAGTTTAGTGCAAAATAATTACAAAAACTAATATATTCTTACATATTTATACAACACAAAAGTAAATATATACACAAAAGAATTAATACAAACATTCATACATAAACTAGTCATATTTAACATAAAATTCACTAAAACTTCACAGCGTAATACAATCAATTCGCAGTTCAATACACAAAATTCACAACTAAATATAAAAAAGTTTACAATTTAATGCACAAAAATTATACATTCACAACCATATTCTAAACTTAAAACTTACATATATACCATTAGATCTCTAGGTTAATGTTTCTTTCAAAGTTTATTTACACAAAATCTTCACAATTTAAATTTTACATTCTTTATTCAAAATTAGATTAAATCAGATCTATATATAATAGCACTTTCATCTTATATTTTGAAGCAAACAAGGAATTAATATAGTTAATTCACGACTTAATACATCCAATTCAAAGTTTAATATAGTTAATTCACGACTTAATACAATCAAATCGTGGTTTAATAAAAAAATCACAACTTAATATAATAATTTCAAAGTTTAATACAAAACATTATACTTCAAAGTCATATTCTCAACTTAAAACTTACATTTCAAGACTTTAATTCACAGTTTAATAAAGTAGTTTAGGTCTCCGTCTCACGATATTTAAAACTTAAAAACATGATTGATTTTGTTGAAGCAAACAAATTCATAGTCAAATAAAGAATTTCAAGACTTTCATTCACAGTTTAATAAAACAGTTTATGAATCTTTTTCGAAATATTCACAACTTAAAAACATATTAATTCACTCGTTAAAAATCAAAATTTACAACGTAAAAAAAATTCATATTATTTGAGGAAACATTAACATAATAAACCACAATCTTGTTTCAATTCACAATATAACAACTATAAAACATAAACAGTGAATAACAATTTGATATAAATATTATAAGAAATAAGAATACAAAGATTGATTCAAAACTTAACAACAGAAAAAACAATGATTAACAAAAATAAACAATAAATGAGAGATTAAAACATTAAATTCACAGCTTAACAGAGGGCAAAAATAATAAAAAAAAATTTGACATACCTGATGTGTTTCATTAGAGATCATATAGAAATAGATGGAGCAGGTGGCGGTGCTGGAACATATCTAAGGAGGTGAAACTACCATCGGCCACTGTTACCACTATTATAGCTTCAGATCTATACATGTAATAGCACCACGCAAATTAGATCTAGAAAATCGAACAACATACATCATGTCTGACCAGATCTGAAAGTGATGCCGACAGTAGGAGGTTGTGTGGACATCAGTGGTGGTAGAGATGGTGGAAACGAAGTTGATGGTGATGAAGGTGGTGTCGGATCTGACCAAAGCGCACCATATCTAAGATGTTTTGCATTTTAAAGAGGGAAAGTTAAGCTGAAACAACTTTGTGACTCCATATCTGAGACCAGGTGGCGATTGATGGTGGATATGGACGTATTTTCATCAGATCTTATCAGACCTGTGTTTCCGTTTGTGGTAGGTTACCGACATGGAAGAGAAATTTGTGTTCACAGTGATGGACGAAGGTGGTGGTTATGCCGCTTGCCGGAAATCATAAATCTAGAGGAAAAAATCATAGATCTGAAGACAAAAATCATAGATTTGAAGATGAAAGTCGTAGATCTGAAGAAGAAAATCGTAGATGTGAAGCTGAATATCATAGATCTAAACTAAAAAGCACATATCTAAAGTTGATGTTGTAGATCTGGAGCCAACCAGAGCTTGTGGATCTAATGGCGGTGGTTCACCGGTGGTAGGAGGCGGCGACGGTTCGCCAAGGGCAGGAGGTGGCGACACTACGACGGTGTCGCTGGTGGCAACCGGTGATAATGTTTGTTTGTTCTTCAAGTTTGAGATGAGAGAGAAGATATTCATGTGAATGTGTGTACTGTGTATGTAGATCATAAATAATAAAAGATGAAAGTGACTTCTTATGTTATACCATAATGAAAAAAGGTTCTTAAGTGGTTCTTAACCTTTAGGGTTCGCATTTGATCTTTTACCTCTCTCTCTCTCTCTCTCTCTCTATATATATATATATATATATATATATATATATATACACACACACACACACACGTAATAAAATAATTTATAGTAACACAAAATGCATATAATTTATGGTTTTATAACAATTCCGATAAATAGACAATAACATAAAAAATAACTATATTTTACCATTATTAACACATGGATTTAATGCCAAACAACCCATTGTATGGTTCGTCTACCATATTGTGCAGTTGTAGTAATCAAAATGAGGGTTGTGATAAGGGATGAGTAATTAGTATCAAATTTTGATCTTATATCGGTACTGCATCGAAAACTAGTACCGAGTTTTTACATAGGGATGGTACTTTGGACTTTCTTTTGCCAAAAATTGATACTCGATACTATGTACATGGTACAAAACTCATCAGGTAAAATATCGAACCGACCTAAGTAGAGTAAATGAAGGGTCATGCAACTATGGGGGAACTAGGAAAGGATATGTCGAGTCATACGCATGACAAAAAAATCCTCGCTAGTCATGACACCATATAAACCCTCAATACGTCTTTGTGTTTGACAGATCAAAGACCTTATGCATTTGTAAAAGGAATATTTGTGATATCATCCCATTTAAGGTTGTTTCAAGTTCGACTTCCACGCACAGTCAAGTTCGATCAACACAATTGAAGGTTGCTTCAAGTTCGATCACCCATAACTTTCAAGTCTTAATTAGAAAAATCATTTGTAAAAGGAATATTCGTGATATCATCCCATTTAAAGCTTTCAAAATATAATATCAAAGTTTGCTAAAAGGTTTCATAAACCAAAAATATGGAAGTCATAATCCTAGTTTACAAATTCAAAATATCATAAGTATAAGACAAAATTGAAAAATTGGTCCTCATGGTTTACCAAAAATTATGGATATAGTCCAAAAAGTTTTCAATTTGCATGGAAGGTCCAAAATCAGAAAATTCTCATGATTCTGGTGCATTTTTATCCCTAAAAAACATGAAAATATGGTTTTACCCTTTTAGTTTCTTTTTTCATTTTTTAATATCAAATATAATTATTTTATAATTAAAAAACAAAAAAAAAACTAAGAAACGGGTCCACCCACACCATTATACCCTCTCTCTCTCTTCACCATTTTCCCCATCCTTTCTCGTCTTGTTGGACAACTTCAGAGTAAGCAATTAGAATATGAACAAGTTAGCAAGCCAATAGAGTATCAACAACTTGGATATTGTTTTACTGTGTATCGATGAGAAAAATGGGGTAATGATTGTATGAGGAGGAGGCACCAATCGACAGAGAAAAGCGTTTGTTTTTCCGCCGGATGGTCAAATACGTTTGCAGGGATCCTTTGTAGATTATAAATGAAGATAGAAGATGAGTCCACAACCGACGACGTTATAGAGGTCGTGTTGTTCATAAGTGAATCATTAATAACAGGGGGTTTATTTGTGGGGTTCATCTTACAAATCATTAATTCAATCCATGATGATCTTAGTGGTTATATTGAACAAAATTAGAAGCAAGATGAGACAACCGATTGTCGTTCCCCAAAACACCCTTCGAATGCTCGATCTTTTGCGCAACATCAGCCATATCAGGCAACTTAACTTTGTAACCAAGCATCGGCGAACACAAGCAACATCAGCCATATCAGATGTGACAACCGTCAAATTCTAGTCAAAGTCTAACAAGTCAAACCAGTCGAATTTAATTAGTACTTGTATGTTAGATGTTATTCTATGAATAAAAATGTGCATTTGTATGTCAAAAATTCAAGTGTCTCGAAAAATCAATGTGTTAATAACGTAAAAACCCTAAAAAGAGAGTTAAACGCATCAAAACACGACTAAGGACCCTTCCGGAGACTTAAGACGATCATTAACGAAGCATAACAGGGTTCACAAACCTTGCAGTTGCGAGATTATGTGATAATAATGGCTAAGGTTAAATCTCTCCCAAATCTCTCCAAGCATGTGAAATCTCTCCCAAATCTCTCCAAGTATGTGAAATCTCTCCCAAATCTCTCTAAGTATGTGAAATCTCTCCAAGTATGTGAAATCTCTCCCAAATCTCTCCAAGTATGTTAAATCTCTCCCAAATCTCTCTAAGTATGTGAAATTCTCCCCAAATCTCTCTAAGTATGTGAAATCTCTCCAAGTAATGTGAAATCTCACCCAATCTCTCTAAGTATGTGAAATCTCTCCAAGTATGTGAAATCTCTCCTAAATCTCTCTAAGTATGTGAAATCTCTCCAAGTATGTGAAATCTCTCCCAAATCTCTCTAAGTATGTGAAATCTCTCCAAGTATGTGAAATCTCTCCCAAATCTCTCCAAGTATGTGAAATCTCTCCCAAACTTTTATAGTCATCCGGGTCATCCCGACCCTTAACTTGGTCAAAAATCACGCAAAACGGAAAGATTTCTCGAAAAACAGCCATATAGAGCCGAAACTCCTCTTAGGAACCGAAACTCCTCTTAGGAACAGAAAGTCCTCTTAGGAACTGAAACTCCTCTTAGGAACAGAAAGTTCTCTTAGGAATCGAAACTCCTCTTAGGAACAGAAAGTCCTCTTAGGAACCGAAACTCCTCTTAGGAACAGAAACTCCTCTTAGGAGCCGAAAGTGTTAGGAGCCTCTCGGACCGAAACCCCAGCAGACCGAAGCTCAGCAGCAAGGATCGAACTTCGGCCCCCATGCGAGACCCTCGCACTCGCCCCACTTCGCTGCTTCTTTCCTCATCTCGGTTCCTTCTCCCCTTCTCTCGGTTCTCAACCTCTTAGAGCTGAACCTCGCAGGTTCGGTCCCTATTGTCCGGTTTTCGACTACTTTCGCCTCCTAAGCCCGTTTTTGACGGGATTTTTTTCACCAAATTCATATTTTTATCATTTCTAACCCCCAGAACTATTATTTTAATAATTTTTCAAGGATTTATTAATTAAAAATCATTATTTTATATTAAGAGGATATTTACCCCACAAGTGGGACAAGTGTGCCCACTTGCCTTCCATGTGTCACCCTACCACTTGCCACCTTATCCACATCACACAAACCAATGCACGCATTACTTCAAACTCACAAGTTGCTCCAGCAACCTGCTATATAAAGAAATCCCTGGAGGATTTCTTGATTTACTTGCTTATTTCAAAAACTTCCACACTTCTCATATCACCCCAAGAAAGCTTCTTGCTCTCTACATTTCACCACCTTGTGCAAGTGTTCTTGAGTTGCTACTACACTTTTTGGTAAGTATTCCATTTAAACTCAAGTATTATTCCATAACTTCATAACACTATTGGATCATTGACTCATATCTTAACGCCAAAAATCGTTCTTAGGATCATCCAAGTCCTCACGTGTTCAGCAAGTACTCTTGGCTTGATATTCCTTAACTTCAACCTTCCACTCTTCAAGTCATCACTCAAAGTGAGTTCATACCCCTACGTTTTATAGTTTTCTTCAGTTTTTAGGGGGGGGGGGGAATACAAGTCTAAACACCAAAACATATTCAAAACTAAACTTGATAGCTTGCAACAGAAAAGTTGTGACCTGTTCATGAACTGTTTTACCCAACTTAAACTTAATATTTTTCAAAACTGTATATATATGCAAGTAGTTCAGGTTTATACCTTTAAAATGACTACTTGCACATCTCCATACGATTTTTCTACAATTTATGGTGATTTTTACAAAACGGCCTATCACTGCAGCAACGAAATCAGACCAGGTTGTGAAAATGAACATTTTCACACTAGTTTGAGATCACCAAAAATTATGTGAAAATTTATGAACACTGTAGACACTTTTTCCAAATACTCAGAGTTTGCGGATTCTGTTTTTGACTTACGATTATTTTTCTATAATTACTCAAAAACAGTGACAGTTAAGGGTAAAACTGTAAAATACATGTTTAAGGGTTATTCACACCTTGTAACATGCTGAGCAAGGTGTGTAAGATTTTATACCTAGTATTTTAAATGTTATTTTATTGAAATACAAGGTCATGCATAACAAGGTTACATTCATCTAAAGCACTTTTATAAAACTATAATAGGTATAGTTTGGACACCTCATTTAACAAAGAAATGGTAATACTATCGATTTACAAAGCGAGTATTTTATTACAAACTACGTGAACATGTTAATGAATAAATTTGTGAGACATTCATCTTCGGAGTACTCTTTAGTACAACGGAAAAGTCCTGTAGTTATAGCCAGAATCTCTTGTAGGGAGAACGTGATAATTGTGTATAGATCTATATTGGGTTTGACAACCCGCACCTGAGCTGCTTGCAACAGCTAGACCGGCAGGTCTGTGGTGACAAGTATCATATCATTCCGACGCTTGAAGAACGTCGAGTACGAGGTCTTCGAGTCATAGTATGGTTATAACAACTCACATGGGAAATTAACAAACACACCGTTCACGGGAATTTAAGGATTTCACGAAAAGGAGTTTTATTTAAATATAAAACCACATATAAGTATGATGATTTACTTACATATACTAAGTCTTGGTTCAGTTAAGACTACACTAAACCTTTTAGAAAATATTGGATTTTCTGGAAACAACTTGTAACAAACTTTAAGGAACGACATTCATTTTTCATTCATAAATTGCTTATGAACTCACCAGCTTTAATGCTGATACTCTTTCAAAAACAACTTGTATTCTCAGGTAATCAGTAATACAGGTAACCACAAGACTTTTGAAGGCAAGACGCTAAGGCGTAGATTTCTTTTGAACTATTTTGACATCATATGTAATTTATTTGGAAACATGTATTTTGCAACGATGTAACCTTTTAAATTATATTTATGATGGTTGTGTTTACTTTCTTCACTATGGTTATGATACTGAACATGACGTCCT